GGAGGTGAGTACCATAGACTGCATAAATATTTTCAAACTTGTGGTATTGCTCATCGTGTGTCATGTCCACATACGTCACAATAACATGGCATAGTTGAACGTAAACATCGTCATATAGTTGAAACTGGCATGGCCCTGTTAGCTCATTCTTCTCTACCTCTTCGCTTTTGGGATGAAGCATTTTTGACAGCATGTTATTTAATAAATCGAATGCCCAGGCGTATTATTAAAAATTCCACCCCCATCACACGTCTTTTGAATGTTGTCCCTGATTATTCCTTCTTACGTGATTTTGGTTGTGCATGTTGGCCGAGTCTCTGCAAGTATAATGCTCATAAACTTTCCTTTCGTTCCACTTTATGTGTTTTTCTTGGGTATAGTTCTATGCATAAAGGGTACAAGTGCCTTGACAAACAAACAGGTCGTGTTTATATCTCTCGTGATGTAGTGTTTGATGAGTCTCGTTTTCCATTTGCCGCATCAGATGTTTCGTCCTTACCCTCCTCTAATGCTCATGGTGCTTCTTATCCACAATCTGAACCTAGTACTGTGAATGATCACATGAATAGATATGACCTGTCACTTTTACTTGATAATTTGTCTCATGTAGTTGCAGCTCCTGTACAAACTGGTTCGACTTTCACCAGCAGCTCACCTGCCATTCCGAGGATATCTCCACCATTACCAACGCTTCCTGCTACGCCACCTACGGTTCCCACTCTGGCCTCGGATCCATCGGTCATTCCCAATGAACCAGAACCAACATCTCCAGCTCCTGCTCCGGCTTCACCTGCTCCAGCTCCTGTTTCTACTATACCCTTGCATCGTTCACCGCCCCCACAGCGGGTCACTCGCACACAAACAGGTTCTATGCGACCAAAACAGTTTACGGATGGTACTATACTCTACAATCCTTCTCGTCGGGCTTTCTTTGCTGTTCCTACTTCTCACAAAGCTGCCCTTTCTGATCCTAAGTGGCGTTGTGCTATGGATGCCGAGTTTGATGCTCTTCATAAAAATCGCACTTGGGACTTGGTACCACCACCTCCGGGTGTTAATACAGTTGGCTGCAAGTGGATTTTTAAGACGAAACTACATCCGGATGGTTCACTTGACAAACATAAAGCACGGTTGGTTGCTCGGGGGTTTACTCAACGATATGGCATTGACTACCATGACACGTTTAGCCCGGTTGTCAAACCCGCTACAGTCCGGTTGGTCTTATCTCTTGTTGTTTCTAAAGGATGGCTTCTTCGTCAAATTGACGTTAACAATGCTTTCCTTCATGGTCTTTTAAACAAAGATGTATACATGAAACAACCTCCCGGGTTTGAAGATGTTCGTCATCCAGATCATGTATCTAAGTTACGCAAAGCTATCTATGGTTTGAAGCAGTCCACGCGTGCTTGGTTTTCTCGACTGAGTGATAAATTACATCAACTTGGTTTTCGTTCCTCCAAAGCTGACACTTCCTTATTTGTTTTCTCTCACCGTGGCCACACTATTTACATGCGATGATATTGTTATTGTCGGGTCTTCTCCTACACTTATTGATGGTCTTGTTCGCACTCTGTCATCCTCATTTCCCATTAAAGATCTTGGTCGGCTTAGCTACTTCTTAGGCATTAAAGTCATTCCCAATTCAGGGGGTATAACCTTATTACAGCACAAGTATGCATCTGATTTGTTACATAGGTCTCATATGGAGAATTGCAAGAGTGTCTCAACGCCTATGTCGGTCACTAATAAACTCACAGGAGATTTTGGAACGTTACTCAATGAAGACGATGCATTCAAATATCGTAGCATGGTAGGAGGTCTACAATATCTTACTCTAACAAGACCGGAGATTTCATTTGCAGTGAATAAGGTTTGTCAATATCTCTCGAAACCAATTGATGTACATTGGGAGGCAGTCAAAAGAATTCTTAGATATATCGAAGGCACGATGAACACCGGACTATGCATCAAGAAGTCTAACTCCACACTTTTAAGCGTATTTACAGATGCTGATTGGGCAGGTTGCTTGGACTATTGCAGGTCCACCGGAGGTTATGCAATCTTTATGGGTCCAAACCTGATTTCATGGAGTTCGCGCAAGCAACCTACTGTGTCAAGATCAAGTACCGAAGCTGAGTATAAGGCATTAGCAAATGGGACAGCCGAAGTGATATGGATTCAGTCTATATTAAAAGAACTTAATGTCCGTCAACCAAGGCCACCGGTGTTGTGGTGTGACAACTTATGAGCTACCTACCTGACTGCAAATCCAGTTTTTCATGCACGAACCAAACATATTGAAGTTGATTTTCATTTTGTACGGGAGAAGGTAGCAATGGGAGCATTGGATGTCTGTTTTATTGCATTCGGAGATCAACTAGCAGATGGTTTTACTAAACCAATTACGCGTGCTATGCTAGAACGGATGAAGCGCAATCTCAACCTTGTTGCGGTCAAGATTGAGGGGGAATGTAAACAGAATGATTAGATTATTTTTAATCCATACTTATCTTCATATCCTGTATGTATTTAAGTTCCGTTTATTGTGGACCTCATATTGTAATCCTTTGTTATATATATAATACTAAAATCCCACGGGATCCTTTAAGCCACTTACCCTTTTCTTCTAATAAAAGATCTATTGATGTTGTGATTAGATCTCTTGTTTACGTTTTTAACATATGGACTCTTAATTAATACAGTAAGTGGTAATTAGCAAGAGGTGTTACATTTTTTGTATGGGAACCTTAGATTTTTAACTAATTAAAATGAACAACTAATAAAAAAAATGAACAATCATACCTTTTTTTTAATGGCCTTTATATTTTGAGCTTTTTTATAGATAAATTAAATGGCTCTCTAATGTCAATGAAAGGAGTTCTTTGGTCAACGAGAAGTCGTAATTCAGTAATTCTAGTTAATGATTTAGGCCTGTGTGGGTTTGTGTGTATTTTTTTATGTTTGTACAACTACATATGAGTACTTCAAGAAGTGCACGCCTCATGATGATGTCCTCTGTGAAGTTGGCATCGCGTAAAAGGAAATTTTTGCAAAAAACTACAAAACATTCTTCTTCAATTCAACTCAAGTAACAACATATTCTTGTCTTTCTTTCCTCAACACCGAAGATCCAATTTCAACAATTCCATCGGATTCAATGTAAAATTCTACTTTTGCTCTTATATTCTTTCAGTCAATTTATCGTTTCAATCTGGGATGAATTGAAGCTACCTTTATTTGGATGGTGATTGGTGAGTCATTCATCTGTCTAAGCATTTCCTGTTATATTTTGTCTCAATACTTTCACCTCTTTCTTTAGAATATGTCTAGTTTTGGTTCAAATTGCATGCTTCCATGCCGGACAGCCTGCAATTTGCTAGTGAAAGGCTCCTCCTTTTTAGGTTCATGACAATCTTTTTGCTCTTTTGAGCTATTAAAATAACAAGCTATGTTCAGTGACCAATTCTTTATGTACGGAAATTAATATATATCCGCATACTCTATCTTTCCCACCTTTTCTTTCGTTTTCACACAAGCATGTTAATTTGTTCATACCTTTTTCTTTCGTTTTCACACAAGTGTGTTTGTTCACGCCAAAAAGATATTATGTTGTTTGCCATCTACTTCTCTTACTTTTGTGGGTTCGGCTTCAATAAGACCAGCATTAATTTATAGAAGAAACTATATCAATATACCAATGATCACATTTGAAGGCGGTATATTTTCATCTCTCTCTCTCTCTCATGAGTCACGACTTTCCATTAATGGCGACCCTTTGTTTGCGTATTATAAATACAGGAACTGCTAATAGATAACCTTTGAGGATATATAGAATATTGAGATTTTTTTATCAACATCATGCAATAAGAGGTCCGATCCATGCATGAGCTGTAAATTCGAGTTGTAAGGCTAACATGATTTTTTTTATCAACATCATTCCAATATTCTTTTCATGTTTCACCAAACTATACCTTCTCCAATTATCATGAAATCTTTTGTACTTCACTTCAATATCCTCTCTATATACTCATCCATGTAACAGACTCCATAAGTCATATTGTCAGAATTCACAATCATTTTTACATTCTTGTAATTAGTTGTGAACCGGAGAAACAAAATGGTGGTGGTGGTGGTGGTGGAGGTGTTGCTTAAACATCATTCCCCTAAGCTCCAGACAATTTAGAAAGCGTCAAGGGTAGTTTGCTAACATCTCTTGACAAATACTCAAGTGTGGGATTTCATCCAACTGCGGATTTGTGCATTTATGACCCCGAAGAAGTTCTTAGTTCTTACTGTTTATATAAGCATAGCTATACATGCATACATTAAAGTGATCACATTCTTCATTCTTTAAAGCTTAAAATAAGTAAGATTGTTTCTGGTTGATGTATTGTCTTCTTTTTCCTGTTGTCTACGTCATGTTAACACTAAATGATCATCAAGGAGCAAAGGGTGTTAAAGAACCATAGTAAAAATATGTTTTAGAACACGGGAAAAGATCTTTGTGAAGCAAGCAAATTAACATGAAGAAGTATACTATTAATATGAACTAAATCAACATTAGGCTTGACAAGCAACTTTTGAGCTGCAATAACTAATAGGACACAAATTAACATATAGATTAAACACTTTCATTCCCTTGTTAATTAGTCTTAACAAATAAGAACATTCATAATACGTACATATACATGCATACATTAGAAATATGTTATATGAATTCCATACATATCTACTTAGCTTGTTAACAAAGCTTAGTCCGATAAGTTTCTTAGAACCTTTCACGACCCACATTAAAACTATACTCAACCGGTCATCAATAAAAAAAAAAAGTAATATAAAAAAAACATAATATACTTGCATTAGTTGATGCATTCTAGTCACCATAATATATTTGCCGAAGTTTGATATTAATACATGCATTCTATTCACCATAAGATACTTTCTTTTTGTTTCTTTTTCTTGTTGATGTAATTAGAAACTCGTTTATGTTTCTAAATTAATTATTTCCAGAGATCAACCTGGCAAGTGGAGGTGGATATGGAAGCACATTCGGAAGCCATTTCGTCACTCTTTGAATCACTTAAAAGCATGTTCATATGTTGAGTCATTTGAAGAGATGATGGAGGAGGAATATTTGAAGGATCTTGTTCATTACTAAGCTGAGAAGCAACAAACTTATCAAGTACTCGCCAGTCGGTTAATTGAAGATCTTGTTCACCAATATTGTTACCATAAAGCAAGTTGATGTTTAACTGTTGAGTTGATGGATGAAAAGAGGTAGAAACTGCAGAGTGTTGAATTTTTGGAGATTCTAATTGAGGAAGCTGGAGAAAAGAGTGATCTTGAGGCAAGTTGTAATGCAATTGATCAAGTTCAGATTTTGCCGGAAACTGGTGATGATTGTATGAAGTACTATTTGAAGTGTAAGGGTGGCTAATCCTTTTTGGCGATTCAAAATTTGGCATGAACGAGACTTGATCATCAAACCAACCTAATGAATCATGTTCATCCATCCTACGTACACTTGTTATTCGTTTCTTGAATACCCTACATACAACCCATCCTTCTTCCTGTCATGTTGCAAATAAAACAAAAATTAATGTCACTTCATCACAATCAAACATGTTCTATATTAATTTCTTGATTTTGAAAGTGGTTCCCAAGAATGTCAACATAAGAACCAAACTAATTAAAGCATGTGAACATGCATATATATGTTCATATGCACACACACTCCTACCTGACCAGAAATAAATCAAAATTACATAATCAAAACGCCAAAATTGGATTGGCTTTGTTTTTCTGGTTCAAGAAAATTTGCGTTATTTTCAAAGCGTATTTATTTGTCCGTGTGGAGACTAAAAGTAACATACTGGAGGAGCTTTTTGATAAATCTAAACAAAAATTAAATATATGATAGCAAGATTAAAAATTAATGGATGTATATAATATCTTGCCTGAGTTGTTCCATTTTCATTTGTTTCAAGTCTATACTCGTGCATGATCCAGTCAGATTTCTGTCCATTTGGGGCACGACCTTTGTAAAACACCAAGGTCTTTCTCATGCCAACTAGATTATTTTTAGAGTATATGGCCTTATCCCTTCCAGTGGCTTTCCAAAACCCGACTTTTGTAGCTCTATTTGTGCGAGTTCCTGTTGGGTACTTTTTATCCTTGTGGCTAAAGAAATACCATTCGTTTTGTTCCTCAGTTCCTAGCTTGCATAAATCTGTTCATAATGATATATAAAAAAATGTTAATTAAAAAGACTATATATAACAACATACTTAAAATAAGTCATGTCTAATTTGGGCTCAGAAAATTTTGCATCCATGGAATAAGTAACACACAGTGAAGTTGTATTTGACAACTCATAAATGTATCAACAAATTTTCTTGGAATGCAAGTTTTTCAGGAACCTCTAGCTAACTTGGTGCATGATGAACTGATGCACCTTGAAGGTCCCATGGCTCTATTCTGTAGAGATCAATGTCTTTAATAACATCAAGATCAATTCTTTTTGATGCCATCTTTTTTCTGAGGTAATAATCTACAAGCTCTTCATCAGTTGGGTGGAATCTAAAACCGGGAGGAACGTGTGAAAAGTTATTCATATTCTGCAACGTATGTGCTCGATCGGTCACCTGCATTTGAGATGATGCATCATTAATATTTAGTGGTTGAGGTGCATACACATATATAAAATATATCTTATATATCCTGCATACAAATTCTATTAATATGATCATATAAACTAGTGTAAAAGACATCCTAAGAAATTTCTATCTACACACATACATATATGTAATATGGTATTTCCGTATGTAGGTATGCAAACTGAATAGAGCACACAAACTCAAATGACACTGAAGCAACATGAACTATGAAAACTACCGATTTACATATATGATTCATTTCAGTTCTTTTAACAGGAAATACATTAATAAAACTTCCACTCTAGCTAGAGAGGAAAAAACAATAGAAATTAATTACAAGTTTCGTACATACATGTTTAACCCTGTTAAAAGTTAATCATGAAATAAACTAAACACAAGAATAAAAAAAATGTAAAACAAGGAAGATATATGAAAGGGGTAAAGAGAAACACATTAGATTTAACTAGAAAATAGTGGCCAAGGTGTCTTTGGTCGTATCAATTGTTGTGAAAATGTGTCCAGCCAAATGGTTGAGGGTTTAAGTCTGGTTTTGGACGAAGGTATAGACATAAGAGTAGATTTACACTAGTACAAAAAAGTTCATTTCTTGATCATCCGATTGAGAAAAAGGAACTTTCTTAATGAAAACAATCTTTTTGACAAGGATAGAAGATAAGTTTCATTTTATCAATGTAGGAAGTTCTTTAAGTTTTCACAAGTCTTTCTGGTCCTCTTCACACTTAGAGCTTTAAAGCAACCTTGAGGAGGGATCCAATAACCAATTATCTAACAAGAATCTTACTCTTCATGCCCCTTCAAGATATCGATTATGTTGAAAAGATGAGCTTAATCTCATGGGTAAATTTGCATGAACAAGAAGATATGTGGAGAGAGAGAGAGAGAGAGAGAGAGAGAGAGTACCAATTATTAAGTTACCTGATCAACCACATGAATCTCTACGAACTCTTAGATTATAAGTTCAAGTTTAAAGACATGCATCAATGTATAATAGCTAGCTTTTGTATAGTTCAAAAAAAAAAAAAAAAAAAAAAAAAAACATGTGTATGGTAGAACATATGAATCTCATGTGAATATGAAACTGAATGCATAGATACCATGCATTCTAATGAAGAAGAAACCTTTTATTACTTGATAATAAAGATAAAACTACTCAAGTGTGCTTTTTCATGGGGATGCCACTCAAGTTTTCACCACTAAACAAAAGTGAAAACTAAATAATAATGCACAACCAAGATATACAAGCACTTTACTTTGTGAACCCGGTAATATGCTTCAATTCTATGCAAATATAGTAGTGAAATTGTTATTGAATATAATTAAAAGGGCTCCCTTATAGATATTCAGCAAGAAGACCAGTTCAATACCTTAATTAGAAATTAGAGGGAAACAAAAAAAAAAAGAACTTAATTACCAAGATGGGCTTTCATGATAAATAAGAGACATAATCGCATGAACTTCCAATTCGTGGTCAATCCAACATAAAATTAAAATAAAATAGAAAATTTTAGTATAGGTCCTAATTGAATATCTCAAATATATCGGGAAACTCATGAAGAAAACTTGATTAAAACACGTACACACACAGAGGAAAAGATTGGAGATGAAGAACATAAAAGAATTAATAAAAAAAACCTTGGAAATGATGAAGTTCTTCACTTAGGTCGATCTTGCTCTTCTTCTTCGAGAGGCTGAAGAGAGAGGATTTTCAGAACAAGTGTCCTCAGCTTCAGTTAATAAACAAACAAAAGGAGACAAAAAACGAAAAAAGAAACAATGAACAGAAGGAATGTTTATTGGACCAAAAAGGGTTTTAATTTCCTCGGGAATTGAAGTGAAAGAAACTTGTCTTTTTGTCTCTCAAAAATGACATCAGATCCCAAAGAACTCAAACCCTAACAAAACAAACACAAACTGAAAGAATGAATACAAGGGTTTCTCACTTAGTTTATACTAGTGGTATAAAAGTGGGGTTCATTGGGTATGGAGGAAGAGTTAGCTGGATTGTCGGAAAAGCTTCCCGTGAAAAAAGGAAAGAAGATGATGATAATGCGGCGGTGATATACTACACCTCAACGCCAACCACCACCCACCACCAGCTACTGATGGTGATGTACAGCACCAATTTATATAGATACACAACTAGATTTTTATGTTTTCTGACCACTTTCTTTCTTTCTTTCAGATATTTATGTTGCAGGAGAGAGAGAGAGAGAGAGAGAGAGAGAGAGAGAGAGAGAGAGAGAGAGAGAGAGAGAGAGAGAGAGAGAGATGAGTGAGTTTTAAGAATGTGATGGCATGGGATCACTTAAACAATCCCCACACCCACAGACGCAGACCAAAAAGAATGTTTGGGAAGATTTCCTCTTTGGGGTCTTCAGTTTCAAACTTTCATATAACAACATGACAATAATACAATACTTATATTTTAATAATGTTTTTTTATATGTAAAACACAATGTAACAATCAGTATTATCGATTTTTATTTTACCAGCCTTAATTTATTAATTCACTTCTGATCCTTTTCATCCCGGTATCAATAACTTTATTTTACGTCTAACGTTATGGAGTGATCATCTCATATAAAGTTTCGATAGAGTCATAAGTGGTTATTTATAAGTAAAATTAGTTAGTTTGTCGTTTTAAAAAAAAAAAAAATCAATAACTTTCTTTCATTCAATTACAAAATTAGTCATGAGATTTTCTCTTTGTTTTATGAAAAATTACATCAACCTTTTCCATTCTAATGGAAAGATTATCGCAAGAACATTTATACATGAGAAAATTCGAGATATAACTAAAAAAGAGGTTTAGTTTAAAGATCCGCAGAGCACCCTCTACGGATCTCTCTACAACTTTACGGACCCTTCTACAGCTCTGTGGAATGTGGGTTTTTTTAATTTTTAATTTTTTTTTTTTTTTTTTTTTTTTTTTTTTTTGCGTTCATTTTCGTTTACTAATATTAATTTTTATTTTTTTAAATACACTAATACCTTATATGAATATTATGTAAAAAATTTGACAAAAAAATGTTAAAAATAATGAAATGTCCAAAGGATTCGCAGAGCACCCTCTGCGGATCCATTAAAGGCTCTGCAGATCCTCTACAGCTCTTCGAAATCTTTGTTTTTGATTTTTTTTCTTAATATTTTTCGTTTTTTTGCGTTCATTTTCGTTTATTAATATATTTTTTTATTACAGTAATACCTTATGTGATTATATAAAAAATTTAACAAAAAAATGTTAAAAATAATGAACTTAGGATCCGCAGAGCACCCTGTGTGGATCCATTAAAGAATCTACGGATCTTCTACAGCTCTGCAGAATCTTTGTGTTTTGATTTTTTTTAATTTTTTTTTTCGTTTTTTCGTTTTTATTTTTTATTTTTTTGCGTTCATTTTTGTTTATTAATATTAAATTTTTTTGTAAATACACTAATACCTTATGTGATTATGTAAAAAATTTGAAAAAAAAATGTTAAAAATAATGAACTTATGTTTAATATTAGCCCACAGAACTGTTTGAGAATCTACAAAATTGTTATCAGCGGATCAGTGTACATACGTATGTTCTTCTTGGAAATACATTTGCCGATTAGTATACATCTGCATAATGGAATACGCAGAACTATTTATACACTGATCCGTAAAGGTGTACACTTATCCACAGATGTGTATATTTTTCTATACCGGGGTGAGTTGATACACTATTTAACCGGTATGATAATTTATACATTGATCCTTAGAGGTGTACACTGATCCGCTGGTAACACTTCTGTGGATTCCCAAACAGTTATGTAGAATGATATTAAACATAAGTTCATTATTTTTAACCTTTTTTGTCAAATTTTTTACATAATCACATAAGGTATTAGTGTATTAAAAAAAATTAATATTAATAAACGACAATGAACGTAAAAAAAAAAACAAAACAAAAACAAAAAAAAACAAAAAACAAAAAACAAAAAACAAAAAACAAAAACAAAAACAAACAAACAAACAAAAAATCAAAAAAAAAAAAATTCGCAGAGCTGTAGAGGATCCGCAAAGTCTTTATTAGATATGCAGAGGGTGCTCTTTGAATCCTAAGTTCATTATTTATAACTTTTTTTGTCAATTTTTTTACATAATCACATAAGGTATTAGTATATTTAAAAAAATTAATATTAATAAACGAAAATGAACGTAAAAAGGAGAAAAAACGATAAAAATTTTTAAAAAAAAATACAAAAAACAAAGATTTCGCAGAGCTGCAGAGGACCCACAGAGCCTTTAATGGATCCATAGAGGGTGCTCTGCGGATCCTTTAGATATTTCATTATTTTTAACATTTTTTTGTCAAATTTGTTACATAATAATCACATAAGGTATAAGTATATTTAAGAAAAAAATAAAAATTTAATATTAATAAATGAAAATGAACGCAAAAAAAAAAACGAAAAAAATTAAAAAACCCACATTCCGCGGAGCTGTAGAGAGATCCGCGGATGGTGCTCAGCGGATCCTTTGGTTATTTTCCGAAATCCTTTTTTTCATGGATATTTTCTTTAAACCAATCTTCTTTTTTGGTTATATCCCGAATTTTCTCTTTATACATTGCACGTGCAGCGAAGCATTAGCTAGTGAGGTCTAGTATTTTGCTTGAAGAATGATAAACACATTAATAGAATATAACAGTTTATTATAATCATTTATTTATGTTATTGTTGTTTTTTTTAAATGGAAAATTACTAGGCACTGGCAAGGAGCAAATCACGAAGAAGACAATTGCAGGGAAGAGACCGCAAAATTGACGCATGAACTAAGGTTGCGAGGAGTTGAAGTGGAATACTCTTGGCATGTAACGTCTCAAATTT